GTCTATGACAGCCCTAAAATATTCAATAAGTTCTTTTGCGTCATCAGATGGAGGTATGGTGCCATTAACTCTGGCTCAGCGGTGACTGACTCTTTAGCCTTTTGCTTCAACCAGACTGGTTTTCGGCCATGGCTTATTGAAGGCCCAGCTTCATCACTTCACTTTCTGCGACAAAAGATAATGCCAAAAAAAATTAACAAAATGAGAATAACTATTTTGTTACATAAATAAATCTACAAGAAATTTACAACATAATTTGTTTTTTATAATTTATGTACAAAAATTTACCTTTAGAACCTGTTTCTATTTCATCATTCTGATTATCAAGTTCAAAATCAGCATCAGGTTCTTTTGCTGATTTAGACAGAGCTTCATCTTCTGAATCTGGTGGCAGACTTCTCATTTTATATTCAGGTTGGCGCGAGTAAGTATCACTTGGAGGAGGAGGAGGCGGGATGTCATTACAATTTTTGCCGACAAAAAAAAGGTCCTTGTTTTTTGAAATTTGTCGACTTTATGGTCGACATTTGCCGACTGGTAGTCTAAATTTGTCGACTGCCTCGTCTAAAGGGTCTACATTTGTTAACTGACTTGTCCTTGTTTAAAAGAATCAATTTATTACAATTATAATAATAATAGTAATAATAAAAATTGCAGTAATGAAAAAAATAATAATGACAAAAACATTAAAGTTTCTATAAAATTAGTAAGAAGTAAAAGAAAAATAAGAAAATTAAAAAAAGTTAATAATGATAAAAAATTAAAAATAAAATTTTTTTTTAGAGCTTGTTTAAATTTATCTTGTTTTAAATAAGGAAATGAAGATAAATTATTTTTAAGTTTTAATTTTTCAAACTCATTTACAATCCACACAAAACTTTAATTCCATTCACTGATGTTTTCTATTATTGATGTTTCTAGATGAATGCATAAGTCGTATAAATTATGGAGTTGATTTTATTACTCGGATTGATTAGCGCTGAGCTGATAATAATTTATTAATATTACAGTTGTCCCAAACCTGACAACAGTAGTTGAGATGAGACTGAAAAATTGCAAGATACAGGTTTTTATGAGTAGTTTTATTAACATAATGTAGAATTATTGAAAGCATACCATTAGCTCAATTATGCTTTTTACGGAGTGCATCTATAAAATAACAGTAATGAAAAATGTATGCTCGTATTCGAAACATAACAATACAAGTTGTTTGTTTGTTGACAAGAATTTGAATAGAGATAAGTTTGTTGTAAGGGTGTAAGTAAGTTAAGAGTGCTAGAATTAGGTTGTTTTTTTTTTCAGCACCCTCACTAGAGTAAGAAAAAAAATCTCAAAACGTGAGATATTTGAACGTCTAGAATGGGTTGGTGTTTTTAAAAGTTATAAAGGTGCTTCAAGAAGACCTAACAGACTCCTGCAGAAAAAGATTTAACTGGGAAGTTCATGCATCCGTCCTTACCAGTATTAATTATATGGCCAGAGCCAGACAACCGACATAAAAAAATTTAGGTTTAAAACGTTTTAAACCTAAATTTTTTTTACCGTTTTAACCGTTTTAAACAATTTTCCACGTACTCCGAGCTTATTAAGACCTGCCCTTAATTATTTTTTAATTTGTTGTGAATAAAAAAACTGTACCTTAAATTTAAAAATAAGTTTTTTCAATTTGATCTGGCCTTAAAAATTTAAAAATATTAACTAACAAGTAAAAATAAAAACTTTTAGGGTAATCATGCTTTAAAGTTGTCAATTTTTAGAATAAGCTAAAACGAAAAAATATGAGTTATCGGTTGCTGAAAACTCCTAAAGAACAAACTTGGGATAACAGAAGCTAACATCTTTAAAAATTGTCACGCAGAGGTGACATTGCAAAATAGCTATCAACCAACATTGTGATGAGCATCTAAGGATCTTATTCAATAAATAAACCGCGTTTTATTTTTATTGTAACGTTTTTTTTTGTTTGTTTTTTTTAATTTAGTTTTAGGTACCCAAAGAAGTCCTTACGGTCTCATCACCGAGCATCGCGAAGAGCATTTTAAAGAAATTACACGATAATATAAAACCAGAAGTACTTGCTAGATTAAGAGATAAAGAATTTATCTTTTTACCTAAGTGGATGTGTGTTGAGGACTTTTTTATTGCTTTGTTGTTGTTTTATTGCTTTGGTGTTGTTTTATTTTTGTTGTTGTTAGCTAAGGTTAAGTACAACCTTTTAATTCTTATTACTGGTAAAACAAGTTTTTTTTTATCTTAATATTTACAAATAACCATCGGATCTTATTCAAGTTTAGCGAATGCTAAACACTGTGATAGTCCATGACTAACATTTGCAAAAACCAAGGATTTTCAAGACGTTCATCCCCTTGCCCCTACTTTATGAAAATTAGTTCAGAATTTACTGCAAACAAAAATTTAAAAAACAGTTTAATTTTAGCTAACATATTCAAACTTTGTATTCTGCACAAATCAAATATTTAAAATAACGTCATTTAACTTATTTTTCCTTTCTGTTACCGCCTCTGTTAGAGTAAGTTTCTTTTCATACGCAAAAGAACAGCTTGTTGTAACATTAAAAAATTCATAAACGAAAAAGAAATTAAACAAAGTTCAAATCGAAAAAAAGACACCATTTAGTTTTAATTTGTATGTATTTTTGTAATAATGTTATTAGTAGGCCTCTTATTGGAAAAATTAGATCTGATAGCCCAGTGATTCCCAACCTGATCCACAACGCCTACTAGGTGGGCGTTGGGGCTAATCTAGTGGGCAGCAGATATATTTTTAAAAAAGGTGGGCGCTGAATCATTATTACTGAGCGTTATTACCAAGAAAAAAATCATGCTTACGCTTACAGCTTTTTGAATTTAATTTATCATTTTTTATATGTATGTTATATTTTTATATGTCCAAATATTTTACAGTTTCCATACATTTTCTTATTGAACAGGGTTGGGGTCAAATATGTATTTGTATTTGTGTTTGATCAAATGTATTTGACCCTAACCCTGACACTTAGCAAACAAATACATCTTAACAAAAACATGTACTCTAGTTAATTGTAACCAAGCATTTTCAATTTTGACAATATTTTAAAAATTAGTCAAGATCATCCATGATCATCCAAGCGCCTGTTTGAGTTGCTTCTTTTAATAAGTACTGAAGTGGGCATGTATCTTGACCATTAAAACTGTTACTGGTACCTTTGGTGTTTTTAATTTAAACTACTTGAGTTATTATTCAGTATTTTGGTTATGACAAAATACTGAATAATAACTCAAAAGTATGACACAAAGTTCCTTCAAAAAAGAACTTTGTGTCATACTTTTGCCAGTACTAGGCATTCAAAAGATTCCATATCTTTTTTTTTTCCCTTTAAGATCTGATCGAGTTTCCGACGTTTAGTTTAATTCCAAAACACAATCTATTGTATTTTTAATTTCATTTATTTTTTCAGCAAATGGTTTAGCGTTTTCAATTTTTGCAGACTATGTATCGTGTGTTTGACATAGTGTCCAAAGAACATCCAGTATTATTTTTTTGACATTTCCAACCTTTGTGAGCTACTACTAAATATATTGTATAATGTTTCTATAGTGCCGAAAAATCATACAACTTATAAAAGATTCTGCTGCATGAACACCATATAAATTTAAACCCAGTGGGCACCGGACCTAAAAAAGGCGTCTTTTGAACGTTCAAAAGACGTCCGAAACGTTCATAAGACGTCTTTTTTACGTCCGTGTTTACTGGGAACTATGACACACACAAGGGGAAAATATTGCTTATGGATTAATTTGAGAAATGCAAATGTGCACCTTTATATAATTCACTTATGTTGGATCCGTTATCATATCATTGCATGCGACAGTCAGTTATCAAAGTTTTATACCTTTGTAGCGTTTTAAAAATTAAATTAGCAATACCTTCTCTAGTCTTCTTATTGCAGTCAACAAATTCAAGAAATCTTTCCATAATTACGAATTTTGTTAAAGTAATAGTAACGTACCGTAAATGAATGTAGTTGTTTCTATGTGCAGAATCGGGTGTCGTGTCTACAATATAGAAATAATGTTTCACACTCTTTTCTTTAAAATACAAGTTCTCAAGTAATCAGCACATCATGATATGAATTCATTTTGAATATGTGCCGATAAGTTATGTACTTGCGATCTCTGCTTTTCGTTTTCTGCTTTACGTTTTTTAAATATTCTTCTAAAAGCGGATGTAGAGTAGTGACTTAAAAGTTCTAATATTCCTAGAAAGTTTCTATTGTTCGAATCTCCAAAAAGTAATACCTCTAAAGGCCAATCTACACTTAGCAAGAAACAAAATTACATCTAATAAACGTTTTAATTATTCTTTCCATTTCTGTGTCTCATTTTGTATTTATTTTAACAGGCAATCAATTGTGGTATGTTTATTAATACTATTTTCTAAATTTCGCCACTGGATATAACAAGATTTATGATTGCTAGATTTTTGATGACCAGGTATTCTATCATATAACTTTACCCTCTATTACCCTGCCAACCATATTCTGAAGCAAAAACTTTTGCTGGCGAAATTTATAAAATAAACGACAAGGAAAACAAAACAGAACATTTTTAGATTTTTAAAGTAAATTAAAATTTAGAAAAAAAATCATTTCCAAATAAAAGACATCATCAAATTGAAAGTTTTTATTGACTGTTCATAAAAATAACTTTTTTAAAATAACTTAACATTTTTAACGGGTACCCATGCATTTACCCGATCGATCAACTGGTACTCAAGATTAAAAAGAATTTCTCAAGATATTGTTTTGAAATTAAATTTTTTTTACTTGTTTAAAATTTAACGAGTCGTTTCAAATTTAACAAAAGTAATATATTTATCAAATAGATTTTCAAAGATAAAATTCAAGACTTTCATTCAAAAATTTTAAAGTTTAAAAACGCAATAAATTGTTGATGATGTTGAACTTTTTGATTATTATATCGTACTCGTTACGCAGTTTGTTAAATATATTATCAAGTAACGAGTTTATAAATAGCAATTTAAAAGTTTGTTTGTTTAAATCTACGTGTATATTTATCAACATCGTTAGGGAAGGTAATGTTCGCTTTCATTATAACGCTGATATTTTTTCATTTTTCAACCATTTTACCACAACACATAGTAGAAGTAAGATATTGGCCATTGCCACCGTATATTTTTGATGAAAACAACAAAACAACTGGAATGCTTGTCAAGTTTATTGAAAAAATGAGCACATATTGTGAAAACGCATACAACTTTAAAATGGTGCCTCAGTTTAAAAAAGTTGCTGAAACTCGAAAAGATTTTTTAAAACAAACAAACAATATTTCTGATAGCTCATCTGATGAGTTATTTATTTGGGGACCCTATATTTCTAATCAAACAACAGGAGAGCTAAATAAACAATACAAAGGCCAGAAATACACAGCGGTTGAATTCTTCAAAGGGACCAACATAATTGTCGTAGTTAATAAAAAGCAAATCTATATTTTAAATAAAATTTTGGATGCTTTTAACGAAAACTATACGGTTGTCACAATTTTACTTGTAATATCTGCTTATACTGGAATTTTGATATGGTTAATTGAGCATCGTGAAAACTCAGAATTCAATTCATCTTTTTATAGAGGAGCTGGAACTGGACTTTGGTGGAGTTTTGTAACTCTTATGACTGTTGGCTATGGAGACGTTATACCAAAAAAGTTATTTGGTCGAGTTTTAGCAGTAATTTACATTATTTTTGGAGTTCTTAATTGTAATCTAATGACGGCTTTAATTACTGATTCTATATTTGGAGAATCTGGAATCAGCATTCTCAACAAAAATGTTTCAGTGTTTAAAGATTCAGCAGAAAAAAGATTAGCGTTACTTGATTTTAATGCAACGGTTACGGAAGCCGAGTCTTATGAAGAAGTAGTTCAAAACGTGCGTAAAGGCAACGTTTTTGCTGCACTCATGAAAGAAAATGTGGCAGCATGGATGAAACCATCAATTTTAATGAAATCAAAAACTAATAATGTTGAATTAGCCGTTGTTTCAAGGTTTAAAAGAGAATTTTCAATAAATTTTATCGTGACGCAAAGTGATATTCTAAAAGAATATACATCGTGTTACAAAGCTTTTGAAAAAGAACAATATACTGTTCCAGAAAATATGTTTAAGAAACTTCTCCAAATAGAAACGGTATACTTTCCATCTTGGGATGAAAGTTTCTATAATGTTAATTTTCAAATGTTACTAGGAGTTGTGTGTTGCATTGTTATTGCCTCAATTCTATTTGAATTAAGAACACGAAAAATAAAGAAAAAGAAAATTTATATTACAGCTTAATAAACTGATTTATATAATTATAAACTGATATATATAAAGCTGAATAAATAGATTTGAAATTTAAATTATCTAAAAAAATAAACTTTATAAATTATGTGAGCGTTGGCATTTCGAAATTGAACTTTGCTGAAAGTTTAAAAAGTATGAAAAACACAAACTATGCCACATAGTAACTTTTTTAATTAATAGATTTAAAGAAAAAAAAAGTTAAAAGTTATTATTTGAAATCTGAGAAAAACTTTTGTTTACAAACAATACATACATGCATACTCACAGCATACACTGAATAACGGTTAACTTCATAAGTGCGAACTGACATAACTGTAAATTGGCATAAGTGCATCAAAGTGAATTTGCAAGCATTGGCATAAGTACGCATTGGTATAATTGTTATAACTGTCATAGGCGCGATTCAGTTACAAAAACTGGCACAAATGCGAACAGGCTAAAGTGCGCTTAAAAAAATAGACAAATACTGGCATAATTGTGCCGAATATTGTGAATTGGGATAAGTGCGCCGAAAACGTTTTCAAATATTAGTATAAGTGCAAATCAACATAAGTGCAAATTTGGCGTATGTGCGAAGCAATTGCAAAAATTGGCACAAATACGAACTGGCATAAGTGCAAAGCATAAATTGGCTTATGTATGAAATAGTATATGTGCCCCTAAAAAATTGCAAAAACTGGCATAAGTACGCCAAAAGAATTTGAAAACATAGACATATAGATCCGCACTTATGCCAACCTTTGAAAATTTTTTCGGCGCGTCTATGCCGATTCACACTTATGCGAGTTTTTGCAACTGCTTTGCACTTATGCTAGTTCGCACTTATGACAGTCCGTTCTTATAATAATGTTTGCAAATTTATTTGGCACACTTATGCCAATTTGTTCTTTTTCCAGTTTGCACTTATGCCAATTTTTACAACTGCTTTGCACTTAAGGTAGAACGGGGCATATCGGGACAGTGGGGCATAACGGGACAGTTGTGCGCGAAACCTTATATCTCAGTTAAAAAAAAAAAAATTTCGAAATTTTTTTGATAAAACATTTTAAATTATTAGGCTTCATAATTTTAAAAAAAGAATAATTTTAAAAGTACCGAAATGCATTAATTTTTATTCTCTTTTAAAATCTGGTTTTAAAAAATATCTGGAATTGAACTTTTTTAATAGTTTTAATTTCAATAAAGTGATTTTTGGGGGCAAATCAGGACACTAAGTTATTTATATAACTGACTATATTACTACCATTTCGTCTACAGTTTGATAATTATATTTTAAGTCTAAAATATTATTTTCATCATTTAGAAATGCAATATAAGTAATAATTTTAAAGATTTGTTTTTTATATAAATTAACTTAGATTATTAAATGGTGTTTAATTTAAAACGAAGGTAAGAAATGATATAAGCAAAGATCAATCATCCAAAATGGGATGAAATATACTTTTAGCTGTAAACAGAAAGGAACTTAGAATTCAAAAAGCTGCTGATGCATATGGCATATTTAAATTTGCCCCATCGTCATATCATGCTTATAAGCCAGCTCAAAAAAAATGTTATCACATAATATATTTATTATTTGGTAATAAGTTTGTGTGATTTATGAGATCCATAACACTTTTTGTTTGATTATAAATTTAGTTTAATAAGTTAGCAATTTAATAATTTTGTTTTGCCCTACTTAAATTCAGAATAACTTCTTAAGTTTGTTTATTTAAGACAATTACCCGGGGGTAACCGGTAATTAACCGGGGTTTTGAAAACTTTGAATAGCGGGGTAACTTTGATTACAAATCTTTTTTTTTTCAAGTTGTAATTATGGCAAGAATTTATATGAAATTGTTTAAATCTTAAACATCAAAGCATCGAAAATAGTTTATATTTTGATTATTTAAAGTTTTACTTTGTTTATTGGTTGTTATTGCTCCTTAAAAAATAAATTAGATAATTCGGATATTTTTCTCAAAAAAAATAGTCAGATTACTTTGTACACTGCCACAGCTAGTGTAGCAACTTGTTGTCTAAGTTGCATAATTTTTGTTTATAAGTTTATTAAGCACATAAGATCTAAAGAAGTTTGTTTGCCTACTAAAGTTATGCTCCATTGCATGTATGCATACTTTGTTGTATACATTTTTTCGCATACTTTGAATAACGTTCAAAGTAACTCTATTGCATAAATAGTAAGAAACATTAAACAACTTTAAAATTTCCTTTGTCATACATGTATTATATATAATATATTAAGTATTAAGTAGGGGTTGATATTAAATGATCTTATAAGATCATTTAATATCAACCCCTAAAAATGTCACATTTATTTCTTAAACCACACAAAATCAACTTATAGAGTGTTGTAGTTAGGCTTTTGAGGAGATGCTTATTTTGATTCAATTCCATAATATTTTTGCGGATAAAAATTATAATATCATGTGTATAAACAATAAGTCACACATACACCTATTGTACCCATTCCAGACAATTTTTTTATAATTTAAATTTTTAAATATACATAATTGATGCTTTTGTTGCGAGAAAAAAATTGTTTACAAATCTAAATGGTTCAAATATCTCACCAGCTGATATTTCATCGTTAAACATTTGGATTGAAGTTGCTCTAATATAAATGTTTTTATACCATATTTTAAAATGGATCAAGGTTTTGTAGCTTTAAGGTATATTTTTTAACTATGTTTTCACGAACTATATTTGTTATAAAAAGATAACGTGCTTTTTATAACGTAAACTATGCTTACTTATACACAACTGTTTCTGTGCTCATTGTTATAAGATTCTTATAACATTTAACTAAAACATTCTTATTTTATTAAACAGGTTAATACTATTAATAATAGTTTTGCCACAGAGCTATATAAACAATTTATTTTTTGTTGCTATAAATGTAAATAACTAAAACATTACATTTTTAATTCTTCAAAAAAAAAATTTAATCTTTAAATTGAAGCTTTAAGTAAAGAGGATCTTATAAGTTGATTCTATTGTCATTAAAATCAACTAGTTGATTATAATTAACTATAATGCAATATAGAAGACTCTCCTATAATATAAGAAAGTCCTCAAAAAAAAGTTAAAGGAAATATTTTCAAACTACTTAACTTTGGAATTTATGCAGGTGACACTATCTTATAAGATCATTTAATATCAACCCCTAAAAATGCCACATATATTTCTTAAACCACACAAAATCAACTTATAGAGTGTTGTAGTTAGGCTTTTGAGGAGATGTTTATTTTTGAAATCAATAAAAGCAAATACTTTTCAATTTTAGCTGATAAAGCATCTGATAGTGTTAATCTTAAACAGTAGTCTATTGTTATAAGGTATATAAACAATAACTATAATACTAGTAAAGATTTCTTAAGGTTTGTTGCCTGTCCTTAACTATTTAAATGTGCCTTTAGTCAAAAATTACAGGCATGTTTAAATTATTATCTTTCTTTCGGTAAAGCAAAGACAATCAATGTCTGTTGTAATTGTTGTGTTCAAAAATGGAAAAATCTAGGCATTTTTTTTTTAGCAAAAGACTCTTCATAGTTGATGTTTGAATTTTAATTATGATGTTTGAAAATCAACAATGATAATCACTCATCATCTGATTATTTTAAGCTTTCTATCACTTTACCTCTACTGGACCATCTTATTAATGATCTTATTAATTAAATAAGATTTCAAATGGAAAGCATGTTGGTTTATATGGGACGTTTACAGTTCCAACCACCATGTTAAGTTACCTGAAAACTAACTAAGATTCGCAAGTCTACCTTCAGGAATTTCTGGATATCTCTCATTCATATCTTTGCATCCAATCTTTATTCATGCAGAGTTGGATTGTGAAAGTCTCTTTAGAAAGATCAATCAAAACCCCCATCTAGTATTTCTTAAACAAAAGTCATGACAATGACTGTTTTCCCCAACATTCTTGAATTTTTTTAAAGATTTAATTCTATGTACAATACCAAGAGATTAAAGACTTGTTCAAGAAGTAGAGTGTTAGAAAAGTGATTGAATGGCCTAGCCTTACTGTCAATTTATACTGAAATGGTTGCAGATAAAGAGAGGGTTAACAACATTTTTTCAGTTTCTGGAAAGAAATGTTTAAAGTTGCTATTTAAGCCTTAAATAATTAGCTATGATTGAATAATAATGATTATCTCTTATATTTGCAATCATTATTTTGTTAAAATATTTTTATAATTTTCTCTTAAAGCATCTTATTTTTTATTTATTTTTAATGTTTAATAACAAAATTTATTTTCTATTTTGTGTACATTTCATAATCTTTGACATCTAAAATGTTAAATGTTTCAAAAAGTATTCTAAACTAAATATAATCTATACCACTAAATAAAAAGTTTAAATGTGTGTGTAAATTTTCTTAGTGTATGCTACAAAAAGAGTGCTTGATTATCATAAAAACAAAGATGTAATAAATTAGTTTCCTGAGGATCCTACAGATAATGAGACTGTTCAAATCTTTTTTTTAAATATATATTTATATATAGTAGTACACTATTTTAAAGTAAATATCTTTTGAATATATCACGATATTATTATATCGTTAATGCAATAATAGTTGCAGTTACTCTATCAGTAAGAAAAATATAAATAAAAGAATTCAGAAATGGAGAGCTTTTTTTGTCAACAATAACAATACTTTTACATTGACACCTATTAAGAATAGGAAAGAGTTTAGAAATGAAGAGCTAACCTTAGGCAGCATTAAAATATACATAATATATATATATATATATATATATATATATATATATATATATATATATATATATATATATATATATATATATATATATATATATATATATATATATATATATATATATATATATATATATATATATATATATATATATATATATATATATATATATATATATATATATATATATATATATTATAAATAAATTATTTTACTAAATCATGTAAATTTTTGCATTTTGTGATAAGTTTCAATAAGTATTATACCTTTTTTTTAAAAGAGAAAAAAAGTTAGAATGGAATAATTATACTAGGAAATAAGTTTTTATGCTATTCTACTAAGTATTTTATACTATAACTGTTTTTTTTATTTATTTTCATTTCATTTTATACTTTGCTGTTAAAATAAATCACAGATGAGTTTTACATGGTAAATATCAATAAATAAAATATTTTAAAAACAGACGGAAGCTAAAAGAAGATATTGATGATGCAATATCACCTCAATCTTTTCATAGAGCCCCTTAATATAATAAAATATTGACAAAAGAGTTATAAAAATCCATTTTAAATATAAAAGCAATATAATTAAAAAATATAAATGTAACTAAAGATATAATAAGAAAGAAAATTATTTTTACAATTACAAAGATATTTTGCATTAACTATATTGCAATTCAAAGATTATTATATTGTATTCAAAGACTTGGAAATAAATAAGGTAGGTGAGGTCAACCAGGCCTTAAAAATAAGGTAGGTGAGGTCAACCAGACCTTAAAAATGAAGTTTAAAAAAGTATTTTTTATTGCTGCTTAAGATTAATCATTTCTTGATGTAAAAATATCTGCATATTGAGAAATTAATTATAAAAAAAGTTATTCATGTTTTTTCACATGCCTTAAGTGGGCCTTATTACCCCCTTAGGTGGAATACGACCCATGTAAAAAATACAAAAAATAAATAGTTTATCTCACATTTATAAAATGATAGGTAATCTTGCATATTTATATACTTCAAAAGAACCAATTTTTATACAACAGTGAATAACAACAGAAAATTAAAAAAGTAAAATAAAAAAATGTTAAAAAGAAAATCATTAATCTTTACAGAATTTGTTAAGATAATGACTCTTCCTGATCTTCAGAATCATACCCCATGTACGCCTCATGGTACCATACTTAACATTTACAACATTGTCACATACTTTCCACAGACTTTTGCTGGCACAACGAACAAAACCAATCATTCACATCCACACTTACAGACTTTCTAGTCGGTTTACCAGCTTTGGACCAGCCACGTTTATTGATAAAGTATCCTTTAGTTTCAACACGTGAATAAATATTACATATAGAGTAATGATAACGAATAAGTACTTAATGCAAATAAATGCACTTGAAAAAAATAGAAGCATTATAAAATATTTAAAAATGTGAAAATACTTACCTTACGTACGTACCTTAAAAATCAGAGTTGGGCAATTATTGGCGGAACTGGCGAAGTAATCTTGCTTTGTCGAACGCACGGTAAAGAAAGGCTGATTTTTTTTGCGGCTAGCGATAAAACCAGATAGCTCGCATTTTTGCGAGTTATCTGGTTTTATCACTCGCATCAACTATCAACTAAGGGAAAATATAAAATGCGTAAATTTATATTTTCCCGTAGTTTGGCTTGGTAAGTGGGCCAGGTGGTGGACAAAATGTAAAAAATAAATATTTATTATATTCAAAACCATCTTGTAAAACATAATTGTAATACTCTCATTTAAAATATGAAAATTGTTTTGAGTGTAATATTATCTTTTAAAACCACAAAATCAGTTGCGGTTTCATGTATAATGAATTTTTTTTATTTATTTTAAAAGCATGAAATTTTTATTTTCTATGCATTGCTATAGGGTGAAAATTTCTCAAAAAATAAGGGGTTGCACCCTGCATCACCAAATTCGCTGAAATTTGGCACAAATGTTTAAAGATATAAGTTAGGAAAGACTGAAGTTTTTTCAAAAAATTCTCAACCCTTTATGATTTACAGCAACTTGAAGTTTTTTGACTGTCAATTTACCATTACCCTTTTAACAAACTTGTAGTTATGTTGCGAAGCTAAAACTTGGTACCAAAGGAGTTTAAAACCTGCTGAATCTGAAAATCATAAACTTATATCTCTCAAAACAATAAAATATAGTTTATTTTGAGATCCACAAAACGCACTTGTTAATTACAATAATAAAGGCCATTGACAACTATAGTTCTAGAAAAAATCTGACAGATGAAAAAAAGTTTTGGTTTTCGTTATTTTAAATATTAAACATATATCTTCTTTGCGAACCAATTTTTATTTGGCCTTATATTTTATCAAGGAGTTATTGATGTTTTAGTTTTCCAATTTTTCTAAAGATATTTTGCACAAAAAAAAAATTTGCAAATATATTTTGAATACAAATACAATTACTTTTGTTTTGTAATAGCTTTGTAAAAAATTTACAAAGTTATTACAAAACATAGTTGAAGAATTTATAAATTTGTTTCTTTTTACTTTCATTACATAACTATAATGTCATTTTCATAACATAATATCATGTCATTAAATTTAACAATATTATGTAACTTTTGTTGTTGATTGTTTTGTTGTAATAAAACATTTATTATCATCAATAAAAAAAGTAATAAAATGATATAATAATGTCTAATTAACATTACCTTGTTAAGTTACATAACTAAATAAAATTATATTTAGTTATCTTTTACTTTTACACAACTTTTTGTAAGTAGTTAATGGAGAATTTACAATAATTAGTAGATAGTTAGGCATTTAAAATATGTCTATTAAACTAATAGCTACTTGTTCAAGCAATATGTTCTTTATAAATACATATTAATATGATATTGTTTGTGTTTAAGTGTACTTTTCTTGTTAGGGACATTAAGATTATATAAGTGTTTGACAGAGGTTCCTCCTTATATTTTTATATGGATAACAAAATTAATTGCTGCTTTGTAAATAATTATGGAGCTTGTTATAAACAATCATATACTCAAGAAAGAAATCTGATTGAAGATATTGACAGCAATCATCGTAAGCTACTTGAAAAATAAACAAATCTGAAACAAGAACAAATTACTAATATATGCACCATATTACTATATATACACACCATCATGATTACTAATATTATACACAACAAATTACTAATATACACACCATCATGATATGTTAGTTGTAAGATATGAGGGTAATCATAAAAGTTGCTGTAATCCATTTCTGAGTCACCAAAAGGTGTGTAGAGGTAAAAATTTATATACTTATATTTCATTAGGTAATATCATTATTAATAAGTCATATAAGTTTTTTTGGTAATAAGATTTGTTCAATGTTTCATAGTTATTAATATAACAAATTGTACAGTAATATAATTGCATAATATATATAATTAATGTTATTTAAGTAATGTAATTACTTTCTTTTAAAGCATCTCTACGTGTGATTACAATGCATACTGTGTTAGAAGCAGAAACCATAGGTTTAAATCTTATACCTAGAAAAAAACTGTGTCCAACCTGTCAAAATAAAGTTATGGCATGTTTATCAAAAAGTATAAGTGAAAATAAAAATGATGAAGATTTTGATATTGTTAATGAAAGATCCATTCAAAATAAAAAAGAAAGTGTAGATACACACTTTGCATCTGCCGGAGTATCTCCAATTAAGGTCAAAGGATTGCATAAGTCAGGTAAAATCAGAGAAGGTAAACGAAAATTGACAGCATTAACAACCTCCATTAAAAATAAGGTAGCCACTTCCCTTATTATATCAAAAGAAAGTTTTGAAGAACAGTCAAGTTTTAATAATAAACTTGTTTGATAACATGATGGTATTGTTAACTAACAAAACTGCAGAGTCTACATCAACATCAAAAAAAGTATAATGCCTAGTAAAAAGGACTATGTAAGCATAAAGAAAAACGTCCACATGCAAAAATGTTTGCTCTTATGTAATTTAAAGGAATTGTTTGTTGCCTTTAAAACCAAGAACCCAGAAATAAAAATAGGATTTTCAAGGTTTTGCACCTTGCGACCTAAATGGTGTATTACTGTTGGTGCCTCAGGAACACATTCTGTATGCGTCTGTGCTATTCATCAGAATTTGAAACTGCTTTTGCATCCTCTTGGTGTGACATTCAAAGAATTGTTACCTTAAATTGTCTGTGATATAACTAATAAAGACTGTATGTTGAGGAAATGTGAAAAATGCCCAGCAACTAGGAATGCATTGGTTGAAAAACTTTATGATATACTTGGAGAATTTGATGATGACAATAAGATTGAATTTGATCAATGGACAACAGCAGATAGGTCAAACTTGACACATAATAAAGAGCCAGTGTTTGAATACATTGAACTAGTATGTAGAAAACTGGAAAAACTTGCACCACATTCATATTTAGCAAAGAGTCAAGCATTATACCTGAGATCAAGAAAGGAAGATATGAATGAGGTAACAGCATTATTTCTGGGTGATTTTTCAGAAAACTATAAATTTGTAGTTCAGGATGAATTGCAAAGCTTTCATTGAACAAATTTACAATGTACACTTCATCCAGTGGTTATTTATTTCAAAAAAGAAGGCATTTTCAAGCACAAATCCTATTGTATTATTTCGGATGATATGATCCATGATGTGAACATGGTTTATAAAATTATTAAGGTTGTTTGCAATGATATAAAAACAAATTTGCCTCAAATAAAAAATATTGAATACTTTTCAGATGGGTGTGCAGGTCAGTATAAGAATTGCAAAAATATGTTAAATCTTTGTTTCCATTGTGAAAATTTTGGTTTTACTGCTAAATGGAACTTTTTGTCTACAAACATTTGTGGCAAGTTTCAAAAATTTTGGTGAAATAAGGTGCAGATTTTTGTTTTTTTGTGTTTTTTGAGAAATTGTAACCCTATAGTAAACAGTAACTTTTAAAATTTTATGAGCTTTCGTCATTAGTTTATATATTTAAACTATTTAACAGTAGAACTTTACGGAAAAAATATAAAGTAAAGATCAGCCTTTATAATACACTTATAATAAATGATATTTATAAATAGAAAATTATATATATATATGTATATATATATATATATATATATATATATATATATATATATATATATATATATATATATATATATATATATATATATATATATATATATATATATATATATATATATATATACATACACATATGTATACATATATCCAGGGCCGTAGAGAGCCAAACCGGGCCCCGGGGTAAATTTTTTGGCGAACCCCTTTTTTTTTACATTAGTATTCATTTCCATATTGAAAACATCAAACCTAAAGTCTATGACGTGTCTTTAGTCTAACTTAAATCAGAATCAGTCTTAAAGTCTATGTCAAGATGTGTCTTTAATTAGTTAGATTGGTCAACGAATCCTTTCATTTTTTTAACAAGTTGCATTTGTTAGAACTTTTTTTTTTTTCACATTATTTACCTTCCCAACCCGTACGAAAATTTCCCATGGGAATTTTAGAAAAAAAACCCATGGAAAAACCATGGGTATTTGGAACACGTTCCCATGAAAAAACCATGAGTTTTCCATGGAAAAACCATGAGTTTTCCATGGAAAAACCATGAGTTTTCCATGGAAAAACCATGAGTTTTCCATGGAAAAACCATGAGTTTTCCATGGAAAAACCATGAGTTTTCCATGGAAAAACCACGAGTTTTCCATGGAAAAACCATGAGTTTTCCATGGAAAAACCATGAGTTTTCCATGGAAAACACATGAATTTCCCATGAAAAATCTTTAAGTTTTTCATGGAAAAGTGTTCCAAATACCATGGATATTCAATGATTTTCCATCCATGGAAAAACCATGGAATTTCCATAGGTATTAGGAACACCTTTCCAATGAAAACTTATGGATTTTTCATGGTAAAAAAGCATGATTTGTTTTCAAGTTTTTTATCTAATGTTATTTGAATTGTCATATTAAATCATAAAAGCAAATTTTATCCCACTATTATTGAGTTCTCTTAATCTATGAGATCGCTTTCTTCAAATAAAATCAATAAACAAAATAAAATTTAAATCTTGTTAAATCCTACAAATCTTTGAAAAATAATAGCTATAATGCACCTAAAACATCAAAACTTGACTTCCACACAATATTTAATGCATGCATATGTATAACATACTGAAAATAAATAAAACAAAAAATTACAAGTAATATAATACTATAAGTGATATACATAGTGATAAACAATTGAAATTTATCAAGAAAACAATTTTTACAAAAAATAAAACAATTTACATGTTTATTATTTTATATTAACTATTTGATAAAAATAGTATATATAAATTTGATAATAACTTCAAGTTTTAACAAGTTAAAAAGAACCATCAATACAACATATTTAATTCAAAAAAACATCAAGCCCATTTATAAATGCGTCTGTACTGTATCTGTAGAAACAGGTAGATGTTAAACAAAGTACCATTCACATATTAATATTCATTTTTTTTCACCCTAGTTAGTCTCATTCTCCATTTCACCAATCTAGACAATACATCATACAACTATTATATACATTCTAACTAGTTTTCTTTATTTACTAATTCATTTTACTTATAATTATTATCTATTATAACTTACTTTATAATTAGGCATTATACACAATTATGAATGTTGCCAAATGTTAGGTATATAGAAAAAAGTAGCAATGAATATATCATTATTTATAAATGCAAATTATTAGATTGTTACCTCTTTTTTGCCTAAGCTATCTGCATTATGTACAACATTGTTTATATTTCCAGTCAAACATTCCTGCCTATAATGTAACTTTATTAAAATGATTTATTCAAACTAATACATATATAAATGTTACCTGCATGTTAGAAACATTTATATAGAACAAGGCAGCAACAAATATTATATTATATATTTACTTTTGTAATTAAAAAAAAAACTTACTTCTTCTTCTGAGCTATCTGCATGATGTACAACATCATTTACAAACTTGTTTTCTTCACGTCCTTCCATTTTTTAATATATTATAAAGCACAGGACTTGTTAATGAACGGCTAAATAAATAAATTAAAAATTTATATTTAAATGAAATGATAAGGTTAAAATGAAAAGATTTATACACATATATAAATTTTACCTGCATGTTAGTAACATTTATATAGAATAAGGCAGCAACAAATATAGTATAACTTATAAATTGTAATTTTAAGTAAAAACTTACTTCTTTGTCTGAGCTGTCTGCATGATGTACAACATTATTTATATTGTCAGTCAAACTTACCTGCTTATAATGCAGTAATTTAAATAAAATGATAAAGTTAAAATAAAAGAACTTACGCACATACCATTAAATTCAAAAATTTATTATATTTTTACTTCACTATTTAAAACATAACAAATATGTAATTTATAAAGTATAGTAATGTAAAAGCATAGTAAATATCAAAGTGTGTGCAAAAATTAATTTATTTTAACTAAAGACGAGCACTTTACATCAGTTAAATATAAACAAATAAAAATAATTGTATTATAATAAATAATAGTGTATTATTTATAAACATTGCTTTTATATGCTTATATTTAACTATGAAGTAAAATCTTGTGCATTAAGTAAATTCCCTTACTGATACTTATAAAATATTACCACAGTTTTCCTTCTCCAACTAAGTGGTTCTTGGAACATCCTTACAAGTTGAATCCCAAAGATTACGTTTATATCTTTTCTGGTTTAAACTCAATTCACCATTTTATTTTGACAGCTTTTGAACTATTTTTAAAAATATTAAATGCATATAAAAACTGACGATGTTATAAACAATATAAACGATGAACAACATTATTTATATTGCCAGTCAAACCTGTTGGCTTATAATGTAGTAATTTAAATGAAATAATAAAGTAAATATAAAAGAATTTATAAACATTATTTATATTACATTATTTACATATTCTAATAATTCTAAAGAAAAAACTACAACAAAAAGACAAAAACAACTTAACAGAACTAAAATTGAATAGAACATTTATCATAAAAAAATGTTTTTTTATACTTAATGAACATTTACGATACAATAAACTTCAAGCATTTTTATGTAATCTAAGGCTATTATAAAAAAAAAATAAAAAAGATCATACTAGTTATCTTTTGTACATTAGTTATCTAATCTTATTATCTTAGTTATCTAATCTTATCTAATATACTGCTTGTATATTAATATTTTAAATAAGTTTCTTTAATACGTTCGATAAATTTTATAATAATAATTATACTAGTTTGAATGTACATTAAATTACACTATGTACATTAATACACTAGTTATTTAATGTAGATTATAACTAAACATTTATTTGTTGTAAACCAAATAATAATTATTTGGCAAATAATTTGCCAAGTATGCATTAAAATTCAAACTGGTTTACTTGACATACTTGCTATACTATTGCAAGTTATGCAAAGTAAGCAAAGCTACTGGAAACAGTTAAAATAAGTATATGCATAAATGATATATAATAAAATATAATTAAAAATAATCCCTTTTATAATGCATTATAATATGATAAATATATCTAGTTGTTTATGTCTGTATGTTTAGTTAAAACATATAAATGTATTGCATTATAAAAAACATATAATTCATAGCCTTATTAAACACAGAAAAACAGAAGAATGCAGTAAGTACTGTTTTCTAATTTAAAAATAATCATAACTCTACGAGCTATGACGCCATCTTTAAAAGCGCATTTGTAACAACCATGGCGCAGCTTAAGGGTAATGGGAGGTAAGAGCGAAAAGTTTAAAAGCGAAAGAACGTAAGAGCGAAAAGTTTTAAAGCGAAAGAACGTTAAAGCGAAAAGTTTGAAAGCGAAAACCGGGAAATCGAGTATCGCGATAAGTTCAACAGCAACAACAACTGAAATTTATTGAAATTTTTTCTGATTTTGTTATTATCTCAATATTATATTATAGATTATTTAGCGTTTGGATTTTATTTTTTTTAAACTGTTAATATTTTTATAATTATAAGTTAGTTATAGTTTAGAATTATTTATTTGATATTCTAGCTGAGAGTTATAGTTACAGTTAGAGTTTATTAGATTAAATAAATAAAAAAAACTTATTGTATATAGTTTAGAGTTTATGTATATAGTTTTAGTATAGAATTAAATGCATATAGTTTAGAATTATTTATTCATTTGGTATTCTAGCTGAGACTTGAGTTACATTGCGACAAAAAGGTATAAAATCTTGCATAAAAATTATAATTGCACTACAAGTTAATAAGTTATAGATAAAAAAAAAAAAGATTTGCATAATTTCTTATTGATATTATTTAATTTTAATTTGTTTTTTGAAATTTATGTATTAGATTTCAACCAAAAAATTGTTTTAATGTTTAAATAAAAATTATTCATAAAATTAGAAAGATACGAATTTATAATGTTCTTTTGTTTTGATTAGGTATGGTGAGTTAGGCTGTCTACCCTTAATACTTTTAGAAATGATGAGATAGTTAAACCTCAAGAATTGATGTTTAAATTTTGATTCATAAACTAAAAGCCAGGGCAAATATATCAACACAACATATTTGAAAACGAGACATATAAAGGTTAGTTTTTAATATAAATTATTATCTAGTAGATAATAATATCTACAAATATTACTATTTATGTAAATTAAGGCAAGCTTTTATCAATAAACAACTCTTGAAATATAAATGCTTAATTGGTGGTGTGCAAAGACCTTTGCTTAATACAATTGTGCTAAATTTCAGTCTTTGAATATATTTTCAACTTATGATACAATATTAAATTTAAAAGTATTCATCAATTCAAACATCTCTATAAATATTTATGTCTTATCTCTATAAATCTTACATCCATCCCTGCATGGAACACTTTTGCCATATCTTAATCAGATCTTCCAGTAATGGCCTTTCTCTTTTAGACAAGGTACAAAAAGGAATTGTTTTTGCACCTTGACCTTTGCAGCCAACCTCCAACCATTAGAATATTATCATAATGTTGCTTCTCATTTTATTTTTTATAAATACAATTATGGACACTGCTCTAAAGAGCTAGCGTCTCTTGTATCATCTACTAAAACTCACTATTGTGTTACTCATCATTCAATAAAGGCTAATCCTTTAATATGACTGTTCCTAAGTGCCTAAAAAGTTCTAATCTGTTTTTTCGTGAAACTTAATTCTGTTAGTTGTTATTTTACTCTATAAATTTCATCTTTTCTCTAATAGTAGGTGCTTGCAGTCTTGTTGGAAATGAAAATGTTAAAAAAAAAACATTTCCAATAAAAGCCCTCCAATATATTGTAATAGCTGGGATGTTATGCATTTTACACTTTTTTTTGTGTAACACAAAAAAAAGTGTAAAATGCATAACATCCCAGTATATTGGTAACTTTTTTAGTAATAAAAAAGTTACCAATACAATAAACTTAATATATGATATAAAATTCCCAAAGAAGTAAACTTAAATTAGATTCATATAGAGCCAGCAGTCATTTTCATTTTAAAAACTATTTTATCTAGTTTAAAAACAACATAACAGTATACTGAACATTAAGTAAATAAGATAATTAAGGCTATTACAAACCAATCTGTAGACAAAATTATAAAATATTTGTGCTAAGTAATACAAATGTAGAAATAAAAACTTTACTATACTGAGATCACAAACAATTCATATCATAAATATTTACAAATCATGTAATTAAAACATAAAAAGTAAATAAGTTTCTCACCAATCAATCATTACCATTGAAACTTTTTAAACTAATTAGCCAATTAGTCTTTTTCACAATTAATGACTGAATTTTTAATTTTACATGCAAACAATCCAAAAAACATTACGCAGAATAATTTTTGGGATATTGGCATGTTTTTATATTTCAATAAAATGTAGAACTGCCTTCAAAAAATCTTTTAGGCATCAACCAAGAAGATTCACACAGTTATTAAATCATACTCTTAAGTTGTTCTAAAAAAAAAACCACATTACAAAATAAGAAAGTAGTTAAAAATAAAATAATCTTCTACTACCTCTTGTAAAATGAACTATAAATAATTTTGACAAAAATGTTGCTGAAATTCAACAGGTGGGAAAAAAAAGGACACTGTACAGCTTTCTGTTTACAGAACAAATCAAATCAAAACAACATCATAAAAAAATTGTAGCAAAATAAAATACCTAAAAGTTGAAACAACATATTCCAAGTGTAACAACATCGATCAAGATAATGCCATACATAATGGTCACAATATAAGTATCTTTATTAAATAGACTTATATTGTGATTTTTGACTAATAGTCAAATTTCAGGCAAATGCACCATATAAAAGCCATTTTTGTCATATAAATAATGTCATTAAGTCATATTTAAATACAACATATAAAAGTCATTTTTGACACAGGCTTTAACTTAAAAGCCTAAAGTTTAAGCTATAATTCATATTTCTAAAGTGAATGTCTGATAACAATTATTAAAATTATTTTAAACAAAAATATTAAAATACTCACTTTGCCTTGCAGATAATTAAACAGTAAATATAACTGGCCGATATGCTGGCACATACAAGAGAACTACTTCTAACTAACTAAATTTTTTATGCGAAAACAACTAATTTTCCCTATTATAATTGGTATACACACTTAACTTTTACGCTTTGTTTTGGAGCAAAATTCTAAACAATTCAATTGTGCCCTACTCAATTTTCTATAAAGTATAAACTTTTAAAGTTTATAATAAACTTCATGAACTTATTTCTGAAATTGACTCACTTCAATTGTAACAACTTTAAGATGACACAATTCAATGAAAAAGAATAATAGGTTAACTCATATGTATTTATATAAAAATAATAATGTTACCAATGTTATTAAAATGTTATTAAGATGTTACCAATGTTATTAAGATGTTATTAAATCTTAATAACATCTTAATTTAAGATGTTCCTAATGTTGTTAAAAAAATTTTCTCGCTTAACCAATCGCATTCGCTTTTAACTTTTTCGCTTTCCCGACCTTTCGCTTTCAAAACTTTCGCTCTTAAAAGTTTCGCTTTAAAGACACCGAACCCAGCTTAAGCTATGAAAAAAAAACATGGTTCACCCATGGAAATTCCATAGGATTTCAATTTTCATGAAATTTACCCATGGAAATTCCATGGAATTCCCGTTTTTCATGGGAAAACCATGGTTTACTCATGGAATTCCATGGGTTTTCCATGGAATATTTCCGTAAGGGAAGGCCGAGGGGCCAGTATAGTCGAGGAGGCTACTCATTTTTTTGTGTTTTTATTTTTATTTTTTGTTGTTAATCGTGGTACAACTATCTCTCAACTCTTTAACTCAGAAACACGATCCTTGACAAGCAAGGCCGCTGTGCGGAGTAACTAAGTTTATTTAGCAAAAAAGTTTGTAATAAAAAGCTTTTTAATTAAGTAGTCTTTTCTTTAATATTTTTACTATAAGTAATTAACTTGATATAATATATAAAAGAATAGAATGTAAATTAAAATAAAAAATATTAATAAAGAAAATTTCTCTAAGAGAGTTTTGCAAACAAATAAGTATATTCTATGGTTTTCTTTAAAAAAAAAAAGAATATTTTGAATTCTAAGTGTTCAAAATAAATAATTGTATTTAATTGTACTGCAATTAACCAAAAAAAGCTTTGCGAGATTTTTTGCTTGTAGAAAGTTCAATAACTGCATCAAAGTCTAGTTTCCTTGCAAGTGGCGCTTCAATCGCTATTCTTTCCAAATTAGAAAGTCGATCTTGACACATCATAGAACGTAAGACATTTTTAACTCTTGCAAGCGTGCTAAAGAGCGTTCTGCTTGTGCAACGGTAACTGGAAGTGTATGAAATATTTTAAGAACAACTAAAATGTTTTGGAAAAGAAAATCAAGCTTCAACTCACGGAGTTTGTTTAATAATTGAAACGGTGATAATTGTATTATGCCAAGATTTGATGCGTGTATTGCCTTTAAATGTTCTAACTCGGCTATTAAATCGAGAGAAACATCAATGCTGTATTTAACGCAAATAGATGAAGCTTTCTCACGCAGCAGATCTTTATCTAATTTCATGTATTTCCATACAACACCAAATGTTTCCTCAAGATCTTTGGCTGCCTCAAAACGGCGATTCATATTACCAATGACAGTCTAAAAGAACATAAAAAACATCGTGCTTGAAACAAAATTCTACACTGGTGTTGCCTAATTTATTATTCTGTTACTCATCTAAAAATCTAGCTTTTCGTCTGCGTTTTTTCTCCGGGAATATGTCATTGGAAACCATACCCAGATTTTCGGCAAAAAGTTTATATTCATTTAAAATTAAATCCCAGTTGTTTCTCAATAATAAGAGGTCATCAAAAAAGCTTTTTAAATTTAAAACTTTCACATCTAAAGTTGCACCTCTGGCTTGCAGAATTGTGTTTCTGTAATTGATGCTTGTTAGAACTTTAAACCAAGAGCTTGCGAGTATAATGCACTCAAATGAACCCAAGTATTTCTCAATACGTTTGATATCTGATCGAGCCTCGACAGTAAGATTTAGCTTCTTTAAGTCTTGGATAGCACTTTTAAAACCAGAAATATGTTCTGCAAAAGGTTTTACACTGTCAATCCTGGCTGATCAACGTGTATCTGACATTCTACGCAAAGAGCATCCAATGTTTTCTTTTCAAATTTGCCATCTTTGCGGTCTAGAGCTGAACAAGTTATAAGTCTTTTGCACAACACCGAAGAGGTTTATAACCTCTGCACAGCACTCTGCGGCATAGGCACCACACAGATTTAAGCTATGATAAGCATATGGAAAAAAAAATTGCCAATTGGTTCTCTTTAATTATCTCTGTTTGTGCTCCTTTATACTGACCGCTCATGTTGCTACCGTTGTCATAACCTTGACCACGACAGTTTATCTTTTGTATATTGTGTTTTTAATAACACTGCAAATTTATTCAGCAATAGCTTTCCCCGTTTTCTGATTGCAGCCAACAAACTCTAGAAATTGCTCTTGAACTAAGTAGAGATTTTCTTCACTTAAATAAACATAACACAATGTAAATACAGTTTGTTCCATATGTGCTGAATCAGGGGTTGCATCAACAAGTATTGAATAATATTTTCCTGCTTCTCGTTCACTCAGAATAACGTCTAATACTTTTTTGGCACAACACTCTATAAACTCATTTTGCATTTCCGGTAAAAGGTAAGTTGCTTGTTTTTTTCTCTTTAGTTTCTGTGACTTCATCAATTTATTAAGATGGTCTTTCAAGACAGAATCATAATGGCACAAGAGCTCTAAAATGCCCAAAAAATTGGCATTTTCTGCAACTCCAACTAAATCACTTGTTCCTCTAAATCCCAAACCTCGTTTCGCTAGAAACAATGTGGTATCTAAAGTTAGGCGAAGAACCTATTTTCAGTCCGATGCTTGATTCTTAATGGTCTGCAGCAGCATAATATCGATAATGGAATTAGAGTCAAAACTTTTTTCCAATTGCCGCCATTTAATATAGCAATATTTATGGTTGCTGCTGTTTTGATGCTCTTGAATTTTGTCATGTAATTTTTTCCATTTTCTTTGAAAACAATACCCAGGTATAGTTGATAAACGTGAGCGATTTGCTGTTGGTAGTTTACTAAAAAGACGACAAGGAAAAAAAAACATCGATTGTTTAACTTTGCTCCAAACAAGCCAATCACGGGGAACATATTCTCCATTTTTCATACTTGCATGTAGTATACAAACAGTAAATAAATGTCCGTTCACATCTTTTGGAAATTGAGATGGGATCTTTTCTGGAGCCCTACGAACTGCTCCTTCAACTTCAGAAGCATTTGGTTTTTCATTTTTTAGACTACCAACATCAAAGTCAAGCAGTTTTGTTTTAGTAATTTTATTATCAGTTATATATAAATTATAGTTCTCAGAGATATTGTTGATAACTAAAAGATTGCCGGGCTCCATGTGATCTTTATTTTCTATGTTATCAGGATCTAGAAAGTCGTCAGTCACATTAATTAAATCTGCAGCTTGTTCAACAACGTTGTCATTATTGTTAAAATTAGCTTCTATATTATAATATTCATTTTCTAAATCTTTTTCTTTCGAACATACTGAAAATCCATAACTTTGAAGTAGGGTTTGTTTTTCATTTACATTTTTTAACCTCGACAATTTTTCTTTCCTTTTTTGAGATCCAGATTTGTAATGGTAGTTCATTTTTTAATTTACTGCTAAATAAGATTATATAAATTGGCATTAATTATTATTCCAGTAAATAAAACATTCTCTATATGATATAATATACCATATTAAAGATATGTCATTGATATATCGATGGTATGTATTATAAAGCAATATGTACAACAAACACTCTTAAACATTAGCATTGTGAGGGAAGACCAAAGCGAAAATGGCCTCTGTCGCGAAGGCTTTTAGAGACCCAAAAAATTGAGGAGCAAAAAAAAACGAAATCAATTTTAACGTAAAAAGTAATAATTTCTTAATTTTATTGTAAAAAAGCGAATTTTTTCATTTTTGCCCCGGTCGCAAAAATATTCGCTACGTCACTGATCTTAAGCGTCATACAATTTATTAAATAAAGCAACTTTTATAATTGAATGTTTTATACCTTGTAACAAAACTCCTTATACAACTGGTTAAACTTTAACATAAAAATAAACTAAACTGTAGAATCAAATAGACAATTTTCTGGCATTCTTTGTCTTTTATTTTAAAATACCACAAGTGATTTAATGTTGCGCATATGATCTAAAGTACTCGAATTATACAAACTATAAATGCTTCCAAACAATGTGTTCAAAGTTTATTTTTTACCTCATAATTTTTTTCTTGAGATATTTTCCTTTTGAGTTTTTTCCGAATTTACTTAGCTTATAAAGTTTATAAAATATTTATTATGTTTTGCATTTAAGCTTAACGTTTACAGTGATACTAATGTTAAAAACTGTAATTAGAACAACCAATCCAAATGCAGTATATTTAAAAAGGCAAATATAATATTTTATAATTCACAAGTCCAGGCCCTTGAATAGAACCGGGCCCCAGGACAATATACCCCCTGACCTCTCTCTACGGCCGTGTATATATATATTAAGTTTTTAAATTTTTTTTTTCAAATATTGAAAGAACTTAGATTATCCGAATTGACTTTTAGATAGATGTATTTTATTCAACACCTTTTAATTTTTTTAGTTCAAATTTTAAAAAGATATTATTGGAGTAAACTTTGCTCTATATAAGTCTTAGAAAAGATTACAAAAAGTGCAGCAAACAATGTTGTTCAACTAAAAAACAAAAAA